CTTGCCGATAACGTTATCGGTCGCCCCGTGCTTCTCGGGGGGTGGTCCCGGCCCAGCGGGGCGGCGCCCTGGGGGGGAAGTCCAGCGGCCTCGCCGTCGCTCCGGGCCTCTCCTGGTGCTGAGGCTGCGCCTGTGCCCGTGCCGGGCTGGGGAGGCTTCGCGCTTGTCGCCCCTGAGCTGGCCGAGGGCTCCCGGCGTTTGCTGCGAGCCGCGGCGGGGGAGCACCAGCGTCCTGTGCCGCGCTCACCCCAGCTCTCCTCCACTCCCCTTGCCTGCCCGGGGAGCGGTGGTGTTGCCGCCTCCCTTTCTGGGAGCTTTTTCCGGCAGCTGGACGAAATAACTTACCGTGCCGGGGCTTCGCGCTTGTCGCCCCTGAGCTGGCCGAGGGCTCCCGGCGTTTGCTGCGAGCCGCGGCGGGGGAGCACCAGCGTCCTGTGCCGCGCTCACCCCAGCTCTCCTCCACTCCCCTTGCCTGCCCGGGGAGCGGTGGTGTTGCCGCCTCCCTTTCTGGGAGCTTTTTCCGGCAGCTGGACGAAATAACTTACCGTGCCGGTCTGTTTTACGGATTGTCTGTGGGCTGTATGCAGGTAAACGCAGAGTTATTATGCCGGCTCTGGTACACGCCTCGAGAAGCAGCGAAGTGAGCGTTAGCAGGCTTGGAGATGAGTTTCTGCAGTCTTGCGGGGGCAGGGATGAATGAGAGTTAATGTTATTGAAACTATAACCTCACCTGTAACTGTTGAGAACTTCATTCAAGAAAAAAGTACTTTCCTGTTCCTCCCAACCAGAAAGTTTGGTACTTGAACTATGTTTTTTATAGAGAAAAGCTTGTGCAGACAACTTGAGGGGAGCAAGCAGCGTTACCCAGTCAACAGGACCCGGTGTTCAACTGGGAAGGAGACCTGTGTCTTTAAGCTGGTAACACTTCAGCCACTCAGTGAATTGAGGATCCTGGTGAAGTTGCACTTGATTTAAATAGTTGTGGCTCTTCTTAATTCCAATACACAGACAATTTTAGAGAAAGCTTACATCTTACTGGAAAGGGCAGGGGGCAAGGAAGTAACTACTGCTGAGAAGGTTGTGATAGCTCTGGTGATAAAAGCAAACCTCAAATGCCAGCAGTGATACCACCATTGGATTTTTACATCCAGCACAAACTCAAGAATGGTTAAAACTTCTGTTTTGCCAACCAAAGTCTTCCTAGGTGATGATGATGCTGTAACTATACTTAGGCTGCTTGCTTTTTGTTCTGTAGTAGGGAGGATGTGCACGCTGGATTGTGTTCAGATGTGGAAAACGGGTAAAATCAACGACTCTGATTTTAATCCCTTGGAGATCTTCTGATGCAAGTTAAAAGGTTCCTTCTGTTCATCCTGCCCTACAGCTGTTGTGGGCAAACAGTGCCAGTTGTGACTCCTGAATTGGTGTAGCATAAGCATGCTGCTCTGTGAAGTGCCATCTTCCTGAGCAGTTCCTGTATGAAGGTGAAAATTGTGTTGGTGTTGAGAAGTGGTTCGGTATGTGGAGGATGACTTTTCCCTTTGGCAGTTCACAGTTCCGTAACTGCCTTTTTTTTTCTAGGTTGGTAATATGTTAATGACATAACTGGGGAAAAAAATGCCTTTTTTTGTGCATTTTGGATACAAATTCTGTGCCTTCTGGGGGGGGGAACGTTGATTTAAGGGACTTTTGGTACAGTTGGGATCAGAGACTGCTTTTAAGGTGGAAACAGTGATAGAAAATAGAAATGCTTTATAAGAAATTGTGTATGTTTTTGAGTACTCTGTAGAGTCCACGCTGAAATGGGTGAATCATAGTGGCCTGCCTGTTGCTGGACTGTGTGGAGCAACCAGCTGATTATATGAAAGTGTCATAAATTGTGATACTTTTAAAGTGATTGTGGACTTTTTGTTGTTTAAAACGGATGTGTACTTGGCCTGTCAGTTTAACCTCTTGCTTGCTGTATGGTAGAAGCTGGAAAAGCTACTCTGATATGGTAGGGAGGACTTAAAATATTGTACCAATCAGCATGAAAAGAGAGGGGAAACACATTTTATCCAGCAATAAAATCAGTGCATGCTGGTTCCTTCATAGTTAAAGCAAATACAAGATGAGAATTTGCTCTGCAGAGTGCAGAAGGCTTAGGATGACAGAAGTCTGTCTTTTACCCTGGTATGTAACCTGTTCAAAGTCCTAAAATAGAAAAAAAAATGTGAAAGGCAAACTGGTCCTGCTTGTGGAGTAGAACAGCTATGGTGATTTATGCCAGTTAATGCAGCAGAGAAAATGATCTTGTTAAAATCAAGCTTGACCAAGAAACGCCTGCCCTCTATCACTTTTCTGCAGCATCTATGAGATTTGCTCTTTTTGAGTAGGTAGTAGCTAGTCGGCTGTTGATGCTGTGGTTTTAAGTGGAGTTTGATTTCCAGTTTTTCTGTTGGTTGAGTAATGATTTAGTTTAAAATGAGCAGTTTATATAAACTTAGCTATGCAAACTGTTTTTGCAGGGTGAAGATTGACTGGGTTTTCTGAAAGCTGTTCTTGACTCCTTACTTTCTTGTAAGAAGTTGCTTGACTTCCTTATAACTATTCCCATTAAAGGTCAACATGACAAAAGTAGGAGCTGGTCTTTCTATATTGTAGTGTTGCTTGGAACTGGAGCAACTGAGAAAGGTTCTCCAGAGGCAGGCTGCTCTGGGAAGGCAAGGACTAGCACATGCACCATTGCTTTAATAGGTCTCTTAATGAAACAGCAGAGAATCACAAAACTTATTTGACAGGATGAGTGCAACTTCTATTTTTTTTATTCCAAATTTGGGTTCCTAACCTGAATCAAAAGCAAGTGGAAATGTTTTATGTTAGAAACTTGTGCTGTCCTTGTCCTGCTTTTTTTGCCTTGATAAAGAGAACGTCCTGTGACAGGGTTGGGTTGTTGGTAGAGTTCATCTTTTGGTAGTAATTATTTATGTAAAGTTTTTGGATGTGAGTAATAAGTTGGCATGGTTGAAGAGTTTATTTGCCTCTTAAACTGGCAGAACTGAATGTGTGCTCCCTTTTCTGCTGGTGGCATTGAACTTAAAGTGGTGAGCCAGAAGCCCAAGTTGGCCTCTGTCAAGCAGGCTGTAAAGGTGCTGAAGTAGTAATGTCTTAAAGTTGCTGCAAAGTCTGAGATCTGTCCATCTGTCAGAGCCCTCAGAAACCATCAAAACTAAAACTTCCTTGAATTTGAGATTCCAGTAGTGCTGAACTAATCAAAGTGATAGTCAGCTGCAGCTTTGAGAGTTTGTTGGAGAGAGGCAAGTTAACACTGAAGTACTAAATTTTGCTTGACCTCTGGCCCCACCTGTGTGTCATTTCACAATTAGCCCTCTCCCATTTACCTAGCAGAAGATCTTGAATAGGTTTACCAAGCTAAAAGTAGAGAAAATGGTGTTGCATGAATTGAGCAGTATTTTATATTTAATTACACCTGCAGGAAATATGTATGCAACTTATGTTTTAGGGTTAATTATAACAGCTATTTTTCTGTAAGTATTCAGTTTAGAAAAGGTAAGATAATGATGTGGTGTTTACAGTTTTGCTCAGCTAACCTTCCTCATTACATTGGTCTTGATACTATTGAGCTAGTTTGTCATTATTGGGTCACCATTTAGTTAATACATTAGCTTTTCATACTGTGGACGAAGGATCTTGCCTTTCTGAACTTAATGTTGCTTTTCATTCTGTCTTAGTCTAATGTAAATCTTCATTTATTCATTGAGTGATCCATGTGCAGTAAAGTTAGTTGCCATCAGTAAAGTTCTGTAAAATGGAACTCCGTTCCGTCATATTTTAGCATCCTAGTATCTCCCCCCTTCCAACAATTACTGTATTTTATGTGAACTCTAATTTAAAGAAGGCAGCCCTGGTTTTCTGTCATACCTTACTGAAAAAAAAACCCCACTATGTATACCCTTGATTACTGTTCATTGACTTCATGCAAGTGAAAACCTTTCTCAAAAGAAAAAAAAAAAGGAGAGGAGGTACTTCCTGCTTATTTGTACAGCTGGAATATTAAGTCTGTATTGTGCTTGTGGCTGCCATAGTGACAATCTTGTAGAACTCATGCTATGATTACTGGAATTATCTGAAGAAAATAATAGTACAAGAGTTAAAGGAGTTACATTAGTTATGGTTGTATCTTACTGAGCTTTTTAGTCTTCTGGCTGCTTCCCTGCTGGTTAGTGTACCAGGTACATCTTGTGTATTGTATGTAGAAGGATCACAGCACCAATAAGAGGCACCAGTGGAAGCAGAAGTGAAAAGGAGTTGTATTTAGAGGGAGTTCTTTCTCTTTGAACCTCAAATAGCCACAGTTCTCTTATGCTTAGGCTTTCAGTTGAGGTTGTAGTGGAATGCTTGGGAAAATACAAATTTGAGTCTTTCTCAACTTTTCTGTTTGTGTTCTCATTAGAAGAATGGTAACTGAATGATCATTGAACAGGTCAAACTAATTTTTAGAGAATAAAGTATTTGGACTCAGTATAAATTCTGACTGCTTAGTCACCAGAACATTGTTTTTTGACATTTAATAGGTTTTTTTGTTAGATGCACTCTGTTTCTTAAGGAATTAATATTTAACTTCATTTTTCAGAAGAAATCTGTTCACTCAGAAGATCCATTTAATGATGAGCAACGTGAGCGGCATGAAGTAGAAATGCTAGCCAAGAAGTTCGAGGCAAAATACGTGAGTTACTTGTACCTGTATTAAAATATAAAAATATTTAATAGTGATCACTTAGGATGCTGTAGAGATGTTAACATCAGGGTTTTTTTCCCTGAGTAGGGTTGCAAATGTAGTGTCAAATGACTTCTGTGCATTTCAGAGCTGTCTCATTATTTCGTTTAAGCAGGTTGAAGCTGCTACAAGCTTATTAGACAAGTCTGCTAAAGAGATTTGTCTATAGGATGTTATAGCTTGTGAAGCTATTCTTGGAAAAGCTTTTCTATATAAATACAACTGAGTAATAGATGCAGGTTGATATTCATGATAAATACTGTGCTGGAGGAAAGAATTTTTATGTAATGCTTTTGTGCACTACTGAACAACTCTTCTGTTTGGGCTAAATACTGATGAATCTTGATGAATTTCTGACTAGTTTGGAATGCTTCCATAGGAAGTTATTGTTGAATACTAAGTCATTGCTTGATGAGTTTGTCTTGTAGCTGCCAGCTGCCTAAACATACTCTGCTGACTTCTGAAAGGATAGCATGAATGACTTGAACACTACTGTGTAGTAGCATAAAGAGGCTTTCATTAATAAATGAAGGTAGAAATCAGAAAATGTTGACTAAAACCACACCCAAACAGGTCTTTAAGAATTCGCATGGGTAGGGTTGGGTGTTTAATTCTGACCTGGCAATCAAAACTCATTATCATGCTTAGGCATGTTGATATTCTGGATTACTAATAGAGAACCTCAATAATAAAGAAGCGAAACAAGAGCAGCCATTTGTGTCTTTTGCTATTAATATACAGATTAAAATCTTTCTTGTCTGATTTGGAATTTTTTTTTTCTGGCAAAGGAAGATTTCTCTGAGTGCCCAGTCTGTACATTCTGTATTTCAGGGCATGTTAGCTGTGACACGTAACAAAAGAAACGCTGAAAATGGAAAGAATCGTTTTCATCTTTTGGAGGGGTTGATGGAACCAATATACCCAGTGAATTGAGAAGCAGTTCCAGAATACTGTTTGCTTTTCATTTGAGTGATAATTTTTTGAATGTGAGAGAAAACTGTTTCAACTGTACTTCTCTAGAAGACTCATTTCCATAATACAAGTTAAGGATTTTATAATGTCCTGAAACAGGCTGCTTAACTACAGCAGATGAAAGTCAGCACAGAGCCTGTAAAGCAATATATGTAGGAGGAAGTGGTAGTAGAAGCAATCCAATTTTACATACTCATGTATGCATACACCAAAGCTAAACATGTACATTTATGGACAAAACATGGTGTTACTAGGCTTATGAATACTAGAGTTCAGTACTCAGTAGTCATAAAAAGGGGAAAACAGGTATTTTTAACTATTAGAAAGGAGTAGGTGAGAAAAACTATAATTTTACAACAGCCTAAATCCATAGTGCATTTGTATCTTGATTACTAACTGCACTTCTGATTTCTTGCCTTTCTCTCATTCTCTGCCACACCTTATGCCCCTTAGCCCCAAAAAATTCCTGGAAGGGGAATGTCTTCTATATAAAAAACAGCTTACTAGGTTAAGGCCACTAAGCATGGAGGATGGCAAGGGATTAATAGTTCTTATGGTAGATATTCCCTGGGCTTCCTTTTTTTTCCCAGTATGAGAACCATCAGTCTCTACTTGCCAGCCATGCGCAGAGGAATTGCATCTCTGTACGCTGACCCAGTACAATTGCTCGTGTTCTGACAAGATCTGTCCATCTCTTGATTCTTGTGGTGGGATGTTCGCTCCTTAGCTTAAGCTAGAACAGGTATCCCATGCAATAGACACCCATTCTTTTCTACTCTATAACAGTGCTTTAGTGTAAAAGTAATCGCTCATTGAATGAGAAGTAGAGGGGTTTTCCCAGATTTGCAGGAAATACTATATCCTTCTTTAATTAGTGTTACTTGTCTATATCCATGTAAAATGGAGTCAAACCATCTTTTTAATCGTAGCATGTGTGACTGTACTTCTGAAAAATTTGATGCGTGAAGAACAGTCTTCATTGAAGACTTTTTACTTTTTTCAGATAAATTCCTATACTAATAATCTATTTAGTGCAGTATTTGGATATCTTGCATATGCTAAGAAAAAGCCTGTGAATAAATACATTTTTGTAAAACAATGCGTAAAGTTAATGTACCGTTTGTTTACTTGATTATTTAGAACTTTTTTGCAATTGCTGCATGTTTTAAACAGCAGCATAAAAATCCATCCTGAATCGTTCCCATTTTCTTTCTTTTGATTACTGTTACTCTCTAGACAAAATCAAGCACTGTGTTGTAAAAATGTGGTATTGAATCTCAGATGGTATTGCACATAATGTAAGAATTTTTATTGGATCAAAACACAAGTCTATCTAATGGATGGTCGCATAGTCCTCTGACACTAGTGGAATCTCACACTTGAAAATATCACAGATTAAGTGTGCATTGATATTACTTCATTGTGCCTGCCTAGCAATCTGTGGCTTAATTTCTCCCAAAGCCAAAGGCTGCATGTTTACTCTTCATATAGCTTCCTGCCATAAATTTGACAGATCATTTTGAGTTCACTGAACTTGTGTTCCATAGCACTGAATGATTGTTGTATGAAAACATACTTTGTGTTTAGACCTGAGGTCACTTGATGCTCCATAGGTTCTGTAAGAAAACTGTAAGAAACGGTGAAATATTTCCTGTTCTTCCACAAGCTGCGTGTGATTCTGATGCTGTCACCTCAGTTCTGCCCTTTCACTCCCCAACTGAAGTGTCTTAACATTCTGTTATTGTATGGAAGCAGTGTTTTTTACCTTTAAACATCCTTGTTGGCTTACTGTTCCCTTTTTTGTTCCAATTTCTTTTTTTAAATGAACAGATATTAATGGTAAGATGCCCTGATTTACTGCTGAGATAATGATAACTTCTGCTTTTGTTCTGTGTTCCTTTCTTTCATAAGTCCCATTTATTTTCTTTTTTGTCCACTCTTGGTTGTTGAGCAAATGTCATAGAACTGTTGTGTAGCAACTCTAGTGCTTCCTGAGCAGCATAACAAATTGGGAGCACACTGTATTTTTTTTCTTGTTTGGGTTGTACTTCCTTTGTGTGGATTACCTTGCTTTTATTGATACTGAATTCAGTTGATGATTTATCATACTAAGTTCAGAGCAACTGTGAGGTCTTTCAGTGATTCTTCAGTTGCCTTTATTTACTATCCTCAGTAATTTCTGTCATCTCACACTGCCCCCCGCAACTGTTTGCCCTCTTTGTTGCTTCTAAAGATAAATGGAAACACATTCCTTGGTGATTTCACTGATTACTTTCTTTGTCAAAATGAAATATTTATTCCTAGCCTTGAACCAGACATTCATTTGGGTGGACCTTGCCTCTTATCCCATGATAGTTTCTCGTCTTTAAAGATCTTTGGACCTTTTTTAAAGCATTTGAAGTACTGCTTCCTTCTACCAAAATTATTTCCTGCTCTGGAATGATATTCTTGAGCCTGCTGGTTGTTCTTTATAACTTCTATTAATTTGCCTGATATAGAAATCAGGTTTACTGGTTTATACACTCTGTGGGCCTTGGAAGATTCTTCAAAAATTGGCATTGTATTTGCCACCTTCTAGTCCTGTTGGGCAAAGGTTGTTCAAACCTTAGGTTACATGCCACAGTTAGTTTGAACTCAAATATGAGGTTTTTTTGAATGCTTGTATGAGTACTGTTTGCAGCCTGAGGCACTAGACATCTTCATTTGTTCTACTATCATGGCTGCTGGTGTTCTGTGACTGAAAGGTTGGAGTAACTCTTTTGGGAAAGGTAGAAAGCTTCAGTGGTGAAACTCCCCTGAACTGCTGTATAGTAAATGCCGATGCAGGGATTCCCTTCAGTACTTCTGCTGTGGTCTTGCATCCTTGACATCATACAGACTTTCAACATACTTTCTTAAATGTAGCTGGGTAGGACCAGGCCAGAAGGAAATTCTCTAACTGTACACACAATGGTTAGATATTTTCATATGTCTCAATACATGTTTACTATTTTAATCCTGCTTTTATTCATTTGGCTATTATGAGACTTCTTTTTCGTGATTAAATTTGTTTTATGTCTGCACTATGTTTTTATGAATAACAGGCAGTCAGAATGTACTGAGAATTTAAAAAAAAAATATTTGTTTTAATGCCCATATACTGAAATCATAGAATAGCCACTGCTGCCAAAGGATTTTGAACTCACAAACAAGGATGTTGATGGTTACTTGGGCTTAGCAAGAGAAGCAGTACAGACATGGATTGCATTACACATTAGCGAGATCAGTAGAGGTAAAATATAGTTTATGTAGCATTCTTCAGACAGCTGGCTGGCGCCTCAGTCAGAATCATGAGAATTACTTCAGCTTTTACACTGGAGTTTAAACAGAATTCTGAAGTGCTACCTTTATTTTTCTAAGATATTTTTTCTTCTCTCATCCAAACTCTTTTTTAAAAAAGTACTGCATGTTTTGGGAACGTGCAGGCATTCAGATGTTTTATGAGATGAGTGACTGTAGGGGATGATAGGACTGATAGGAAAAGTTAAGAATACTTAGCTTGAAAACCTGAATTAAAACCAGAACTCACTTCTGGGGTTTTTTACTGCATTTATTTCTTTAATTGTACTTGAGAGATTCCTGTTTGCTTGCAAGAGCATGTGCTTTACTGAGTTACAAGCTTGAATTCTTGCAAAATATTGTTAAAATGGAGGTGTGCAAATGCTTACATCTCTCATAAAAGAGCAAGGATTAAACCTTCTTTGAGCATTGTCTGCATACTTATAGTAACGAATAGGTTGTTATATTTGGATGTCACAACTAAAAAGACTCGTACTTATTCTAAATATGCTTAGAACTGTAGAGTACAGACAGAGAAGCTTCAGGAGCATGTTGTCTTGAATTCATGGAAGAACGCTGGTTACCATTTTAGTGAAGGTGATGCCTTTTGGAGAATTTGATCTTTTAAGACTTTTATATTTACAATTTTGACAATATATGGGAGTCAGAAAACTAAGCATTATATCCTAAGCAGATTCCCATTTGTATAACTTAAGTTTAGATTCCCTTAGTTTAAGCTGGGTGCAAGTTTTTACTTTACTTGATTTAACAATAAACCTTCCACATGAGAAAAATACTTACAGGTTAAAATGAAGCTTACTCTTTCCTGGAGGTAAATGAGCCCACAGTCTGTGGTGCAGGTTCTGGTCACTCAAGTAACCAATTCATGTCCAGTCCTATGAAATGAGGTGATGGCTCTTGCATTTCAAAGGATTTATCTTAATAGTCTTTTCTTCAGTTATATAAATGCTGTAACTTCTTGAAAACTCATAGGTGCTGTATCTGCAAGTACCAGATCAATGTTTTTCTCTTTCGACTTAGGCTTCACTTTTCTCTAGAGAAGCAATCAATCTTGTGTGGGGAAACACTTTACTGAATGCTAGCCTATCGTAATTTTCATTTGTAGTGACTCTGTAACATGCTGAAAAACTCAACACTTTCTAAATTATCCCACTCCTTCTATCACTAACAGTGCTATCACTGTGTTTTAAAAACGTAGGACAGTGAAACATCTCTAAGTAGGGAATGTTATGAAGATCTTGGTCATGCAGAAACCAGGTGGTTAGCAAAGACCTTTCAGGGGTGATGGTGAGGCTATAGTAAAGCATGTTTGCCAGAACTCATTTCTGTGTGAAAGTTTTTATTCGTTATCTAGATCATCTTCCAGGACACATACAAGAAAGCAAAACTACTTATTCCCTGAATGACCATCCCTCCAATGCCTTATGTTTTGTAGACTCTAGTACATTGCTTCCCCTTTTGCCAAGTGATGTAACACTTGCTTTGTTTTCAGGGTGGAAAGCCCCACAAACATCGGAAGGATCGACTGCAGGATCTAATTGATATAGGTTATGGTTATGATGAAACGGACCCTTTCATTGATAATTCTGAAGCGGTAAGTAAGCCTCCTCAAAGCAGCATGAAGAAGTAAGACAATGCTTTATATTTTTTGAGGAAAGGAAAATACTTGGTGCCTGTGTATAACTGCTATGGATCCAAAGGGCATACTACTTTGGGAATCCAAGGAATGATTGTATTTGTAGTTTCATTCAGATATCGTCATGCAGTGCCAGAATTAAGAAAGCTATTTCTATATCACATAATTTTCCAGCTTTAGAAATTAAATTATTTTTGTGACCCTCATTTACTGTGGACTGAAATTACACTGTCTCTGTTTAGTTTCTTGTACTAGCTGTCTGGCTTAGTAGATTACTGGTGTTAGATTTCCTGCATTAGATCAGGAAGCTATTCTGCTCATAAAAACCAATAAGAATAGGATGTTATTCTAAGCACTCACCGAATGTGTCTGAAAAAATTGAGATAAAACAGCTTGGTTAAACAGCAGGATATTACAGTTTATTTTGTCTCAATAGTTTTCAGAAATGAAAACACATCTCGAGGTTAAAGAAAAAGGTATTAGTTAGGTGCCAGCAATATCAGGGGTATCAGGTGGTGTATAAGAAGGCATTTGAAGATATCTTAGAGGTGGTACATGAAATTATGAAAATGAGGAAGAAGCTTGGAAGAGGGAGTAGATGATAGAAAAGCTTGGAGACTGCCTGTAATTCCCTTTTATTAGATGTCAGGAAGAAGTAGGTGTACTGTTTAGTCAAATAAAAATGAACAAAAAAAAAATCAACAAAAAAAACCTGACAGTTTAGCCAGCCTTCAGTTTCCTCCACTGCTGGGTGACACTGGACAAAGCAGCCGTGATCATCTGCTCTGAAGAGGAGGGAGCTAAAAGTCAGAGTGGGTGAAGAAAGGTGATGAAAAGGAGTTATGAGAAAAGAGTAAGAAAAGCACAGAAGTGAAGTGCATTGCTTAGCATGCATTATGTTGAGCCTCCATTTGAATGTGGTAGTAGATCTGGGAAATTATAAAACTTTCTAAAGAGCTTCTGTGAACACTGAGCTGTGAGTTTTCTAGCATATAGATGTTGCGATGAATATTGCTCTTAAGAACTGTGAGGCACACAGAATGCATGTCGCAGAACTGATACCTTCTTGAGCAAAAGAAGTTCAGCTGTTAACCACAGTGGATAGCAGGCTGAGCTCATCTGTCTGTGTGTTAGTTTTTGAAGTAGGTCTGAAGGCACATGAACAAGTTGTGTGAAAAGTGATTTTGCTATATATGCTTCTTGTAGCTTGTATTAATTTGTACTTTTTATTGGTCTAGATTAAAATTTTAGTTGAACTTGCCAATATTAAACTGTCTTATCATTATCCCTCAACTTTTGGTTGTGCTGCTGGAACAATATTGGGGCCTAGGCCTTGGTATGTCCTTTCCAAAGGTCAGATTCTGTTCTTCAGCTCAGTAAGAACAGATGTGCTTCACTCCTGCTGAGGAATCATTTGAGCCTATAGGCTTATCTGGTTTCTCACCATTGCTTAAGTTAACCATGCTGAGTTTTGAAATTTTATGGTACAAGACCCAAGTTCTGTCTTGTTTTTTGTGGATTTATTGTGACCCATCACAGATCTGATATGATTCAGATAACTTTCAGTATTCATTGTACAGGTCCTGATCAGAGATGTATGCGAGTCTAGCGCTCACTGGATTTAGTACGTCTTATACTGTGCCTTCTTCCAGTGCTGCTGTTACCACCAGCAGCAGATCTGTTAGATTTGCAGGAGCATTTACTTCTGATATCTCTTGCCAGGCTCCTTGCAAGAACATACAAAAGGCAGTTGTTAGGGGACCAGATGGTTGCATCATGTGGTAGCTGTGGAAGCTGCTGGGGAGAATGGAGTATTCTCTAAAGATTGCTCTCCTGAACAAATCATTATGCCTTGTGTCTGCATTACAAATACAGGCTAGTGAGAGACCATCTCTGTTTTGCTTTTATCCCCATTTCTATATAGAAGAAAAAAAATGCACTGTGTGCCAGCTGCAGTGTAAGTTGCTGTTGCAGAGCTTAAGGGTTCTGTAACGTAGTAGTTAAGTTCAACAAAACATCTCATTCCATCTCAGATGCAAATGGAAAGCATTCAGAAAGAAAATCTAAAGAGAATCTATGTGTCTGGCTTGCTCATCTTCTGTGGCCAGCTATTAAATCACTGTGTACCCTGAGAAATGTCAGAGCCAGGCCCAGCCTGGACTTACTTCCTTTTGAAAGATAGACTTTGTTACACATAAAAAGCTATAATGTTGTGGGCACAAACACTTGAAAAATGAGTATGAGTGCCTCTTGAATTGCTCCGGGATTGGCATCCTGTTGTCTCCCAGGAAAAAAAAAACAAACCCACAAAACAGAACGTGTGAAAGTTTCCTTAGAATTTTAGTCCTTTGTCTTGTCACAGGTGTGAAAGAAATACTAAGTTCTTTGGCACTGGAAGAGATTTATTCCATGGCTTTAGAGATATTTTCTTTCTAAAACCAGACTTTGCGGTAATGCTATCAAATATTATTAAAGAAATCAAACCAATAAAACTCTAAGCCTGTTTTTAGCAGGCATTGTAAGTAGAGTTAAGGAATTCTACTTCCTTTGGTTCCATTTCCAATTAAGCAATTTTGTGCATGTAATGTAGATGCATATATAACAAGTAGCATACGTAACAGTATTTGCGTCTTCCAAGGATCCAGGAAGGCAGTTGTTCTGCTTATTTTCTTGAGGGCAGGGATCAGGGTCAAGTGCAGGGAATCTGCTAATGATGTGACTCTCAGGTAATGGATTTTAATGGGGCTGGAGTACAGACAGGCAGGACCTGCTTTTCTGGAGGAAGGTTCTTAGAAAGTGCTGGTAGAAGGGAGCTTCTCTGAAGCAAAGAGATTTTTCCTGTTAGACTCCTCAAAGGGCACTGGTACCTGCCCTGATGACGTAGGATAAATTTTGGGCTGCTTAGTAGGCTGGATTGCCATTGTGTTTACCTTCTGTGAGAATGAAGACCATGCATGAGATTCTTACAGATTTGCTTTTGTTGTTCACTCTGGAAAGAATCAGTACTTTCCTACAGTGTGGTAAAGACTTTAGCAGCATGACTGCATTAAGACTATCGAAGTCCTTGTGGCTACTGAACACAGAAAAGTAAGGGCTTCTGAAGAGCGATTCAGTGGACTCGGACATGAAGCCAACTAAAGGAAAATACTGGAGAAATGTTTTTGGGTATGTATTATCATAAGTGACACAGTCAATTCCTATCCTCCCATCTTCCTTCAGACTTATCTCCTCTTACAGGAGTAAGTATGTAGTTAAAAGGTTGCTATTTGCTTTGGATGTATCTGGTATATATGCTGTTCAGGTTTTTACCTTGCTGTTGTCCTTGAAAAATTTTTAGCTGGTCCTGTTTGGAAGAAGTAGCTTTTCCTCTCTGAATGCAGTTGCAGGCAAGTTGGAAATCCATGCTTCAGTCTATACAGTAAAAATTTTTGGATTGAGCATTTTGACTGTAGTCAGTGGGTTGTGAACTCATCATTCCTGAAAAATATGTAAATCAAGACCATCTTACTATTGTTTCTAACCTCCATGTAGTGATTACTCTGATGGCAAGTCCTAACCTTGGCTTATGTTAATGGACCTCTGTGGTAGTAATACACAAAGTGTTCACAACCAACAAAGAAAGCTGTCCCTCCTCAGTGTTTCCACTGCTTTGATGTTGAAAATAGGTTTTGCTATAATGTAAACTGCCCAGAACTATGATCTTTGTGGGATGGTATTCCTGTAGATTTCTGTTTCCTCTCTGTTCTTTCTGCATTCAGGTGTATGCATGCCATGTGCCTATCAGCCTGGTTTGACTGGAGTACTTGTTCTTGCGATGGCCTCTGAATATTTAGTTGGTTGAATACCTTTCTGACAAAGTAAGCTTTATATAGATGCTGATTCCAGGGGAATACAGTGCTCTGAGCTTTCTGCTAGGTAATATAGAACAGGGATCTGAAGTAATATATGGTGCTTAGTGAAGAACTATGTACTTTTCTCTTACTTGAAGGTAATAAGACTTGCACATCCAAAACAAAGACCAGCTAGCACCTCCCCCTAGGTTGCGTAGATGAATGCAGAGGAAGAACCATCCACCTAAGAATCTGTAAGCAGTGCAAGCTGTCTTTCGTAGCAGTCGTACCAGGTAGCCACACTGACAGGAACTGAAGCAAAACATGAATGTCAAGAGCAATGGGAAGCATACAGTTCAGTAGTTTGGACACTCAGGGCCATATGTCAGTATTTAACCCAGTCTATTATATTCGTGGTTCCACAGCAGCCTTCTGAACACTGTAAGTCCTGTGCTGCTGACTAGAGAAAACTAGCTTACCAATGGTGTCTCATACATGGAAAGTTTTTCTGAAACAGGTACTTCAACTTCAAAGAAAAACTTTTTGGTTTTTGGCTACATCTTGCCTCAAGAGCTCTGACCCTCTTAAAAGACAGCCTTTCAAGGATTGTATGTTGATTTTAGTAATTCTGAACACATTGGTGAAAGTCTTTTTCTGTCTGGGTTCCCTAGAATACTTTCGATAATTTAAGGGCTTAGTCTTTGCAAAAGTTCTGTGTCATAATATAGTTTTCACGTGTTTTCAGGATAAATTTCCTTAGTCTTTGCAAAAATTCTGTGTCATGATATAGTTTTCACGTGTTTTCAGGATAAATTTGGTTTACTTTAATCTTGTAATCGCCAGGCTTATTAAAGGTGTGGTAGATTTAATATCCTCTTCTGTCACACCCTGGCTTCCCCTCAAGAGTTCCTGCTATTGTGATCTAAAACTTGATGCTGATGCATCGAGAGTCTTGAGCAAGATGCTAAGAGCATCTTGCTCAAGACTCTTGAATATCTGAGATGCTTTTTCCCAGTAGAAAATGGTATCTATTGGGGGAATGGCAGAGCTCAATGGTAATTTTTACCTTTTTTTATGGGGTTTTCGGCCAGATGTTGTTTTAGGCCAACTTGATGCTGCTGTTTCATC